GGTTGATTAATCATTTTTATTGTGGAGAGTGTTAATCATAGATATTATCATCTTCATTATTTTAATTTTAGAGAAATACATGAAACAGTTTCATTAATATTAGAGAAATACATGAAACAGTTTCATTAAGTATCATATGAAACAATTTCACAACCATATATGAAACAACTTCATCAAAAAAAAGTATTATATGAAACAATTTCACAAGATTAAACAATTTCATGAAAAAATTTCATAAGATTAAACAATGAAATCGACAGATGAAGGTGGTTTGCACGATTTACACAAATGAAGACGGTTTTCATATGATCACTCCTCTATATATACATCTTTTTTCTATATAAAGGCCAAAGTTTCTTGTGTATTTACATATTATCGAATTAATCAGCTCTATCTCTTGAACACACGTCTTTTTTTTAGTCTCTAGAACGATCAAGAGAGAGATGGCTCTAATCGGAAAGTTGATCATGCACCAAGATATCAGTTCCCGTGGAGATTTATTCCATGATCTCATTAGGCATAGACCAAATGACATTGCTACCATTTCCCCCGATAAGCTTCATGGCTGTGATATCCTTGAGGGTGAACGAGGAGCGGTTGGCTCCATCATCTGCTGGGACTATACCCAAGGTAACTATGTAACCCTAGCTTCTTTTAGTTCTTTCATCATCTGTTGTTCATTCATAGTTAGCTTGCTTCTTAATATTATTCTCCATAAGTGCATGTAGGATTCAAGTTATCACTACCAAACTGGTTACCATATTGCCGGTTTTCTAGTAGAGTGTATATATATCACAAATAAATTATTAAACTATTATATAGTGAACAAGATCAAATTTCTTTGTTCAATTTTGCATGGAAAAAAGATGGAGAAAAGAAATGTACAAAACAGATAATTGAAGAAGTTGACGAGACAAACCATATGATAGCGCTGAAGGTAATTGAAGGAGATCTTTTGGGAGACTTATACAAGTCTTTCAAGGTCATATTTCATGTTGAACCAAAGGGTGATGGAGAGTTGGCTATTTGGACCCTTGAGTTTGAGAAACTGAATACATGTGTACCTTATCCAACTTCTTTCATGGACTTTCAAATTAAGCTCCGAATTAGTGGATGCTGGTCAACTATTCAATCAAATGATATTGAGCATGTTTCCCTATGAGCCCAAACGATGGATACGCGAGGAAGGTAATCAAAAAAGAAAGAAGAAGATCTATTGCATCTTGCCATAGACATGGATGCCCATAATCTACAGCAGCCGATAGATGGATGATCTGCAAGTTCTGGTTAAGAACATGGGATCATGAGGGATCAAAGCTATGCATTTAGCCGATTAAATAAGATCAACGAATTAAAGCAACTTGAAGAATAACCAGTGGTAGCTATATATATGGCTAGCTACTTGGGACATATATGTTTTGATTACCTGGGGTTTGTCGTTGTTTTCATTGTTTGTATCCTGAAGTCTTCTAAATGATTGTATGAAGTTTGTGAATCTTTAAGCACCCATGAGCTAGCTTCGTTTATGTGTACTATTGTGTTTAAATTCACTATGGTGGCCATTAGATATGTGGCAGGGTTGGTTTGTTTCGTTTCTTTGTTCATGATTTGTGTTATAAATGGTCTTCTAATTTTATATATGCATGAGCCAGTGTTGACCACGATGATCGCAAATTAAGGCAACTATAAATTACCGGAGACGAGGACGTTTATATTGGGAAATTTGAGTATCATGCCTAACAAGGACTTTTATATCATTAATGGTTTAGGTTTAGTTTCAGATTGTTAATCGAAAAACTGTCGAACCGCTTAAACCCGTCGAAACAACTTAAACCGGTCGAACCAACTTAAACAAGACCGTCTTTGGCGGTTTGAGCGATATGACGGTTCGTCCTAGTATGAAGAATAGCCAAACCGTTCGGTCCGGTTCAGTCTAGGTTAGAACATTTTTAAAGCGGTTTGGAGCAAACCGACTGCCAAAATACACATGTATTAATATATATAGACTCAACTTTTACGACCCATTAGAAAAAAGTCCATCATTAAGTATTTAGTTTTCATTTCTTAATTTTCCGTGTTCCCTAAATCTACAAAATTCCAAAATCCGTCAAAGAAATCAAAATCCGAAATTTCAAATCACGATTCGACTCGCTTAATGTTCGCCCAAAATCCAACTATTGTTGGTGGGTTTAATATTTTGTCAACTTGCTTAATAGTTTTTAAAATTTCGGTGATAGATGTTTTTTAATAATTTGGCATATTTTTTTAATAATAATATATTGATAGAAATTTTATTTTGTAGACAAATGTTATATAAGTTTTTATTAGCTTAAAACTCGTAATAGACCTAAACCGTCTAAACAAGGTGGAGTAATAATGATTTTGTAATAAACTAATTTACTTTCGATTAATATATATATATATATATATATATATATATATATATATATATATTGTCAGGTAAAGAAATTGCAGAATAAGAAATTTATGTTGGAAGAAAACAGATATTTATACATTTTTGTCTTTAACTCTTTGGCGCGACTTAACCCACTTGGGAATTCGTGTCGGACTCTATCACTTTGTAACATTCCAGTGTCTTAGCGACGTATCGAACTTTGTCACTTTGAAATATTTAGGAAATATCACAAACATGACCCACCGGGTAAAGGTCATTATGTCACTGACATTCCTCGGGTTATATGGCTCACTTTTGTCCGATATCCCATCTTAGGATGTGTTTTCCCTTTGACATATCGACTTAATTCCCATACTCGATTGAGCCCGTTATAAAATAACAACTCATTCATAGCATGCTGAATAATGTTTGAAAAACAGTAAATAAATAGCATGCACCCGCATAATAAAATTACATATATTCATTAAACATCTATAAACACGTACGTAAAAATAATATTATACATAATTCTATGATCATTAAAATCAGATAATCTCTAATCACATTTTTTTTTCAAAAAACCATAACCCTTTTTGTCTTTTTGATCATCAATTTCTCGCTCATTTCTCCACGGTTTTTCCAAATTTCAAAAAGATTTTGTCTCCCCCCTTTGATAACTCACGATTAAAATCCCTTCAAAGCTATTAACTTAATTTAATGCAAATAATACCATTCATTATGATGACAGTTTTTAATTGTTTAGAAATTCAAAAGTTTGTTAAATTGGCAAAACAGACCCCTCTATATTCATCCACTTATATTTAAGTCTCTAACTTCCCATTTTTAGTACTCGGTAACAATTTCCCTTGTATTTTTTTTTTTTTTCATTTTTGGCTTATTATCTTATTTTCCTTCCTTACATAAATATTTATTTACCTATTTTTGGGATGTAACATATATGCCTTTTTCTAAAAAAGTTCCAAAACACACACACACACACACATATAGAAGTGAGTTATTATACAACTTCTTACATTTGTACAATCAATACAACTTAATCTCAACCGTCCATTTAATTTGATGAATATGTAATTTTGATATAAGTTTTGATTGTTTCCTAATATAAAATATTGATCATAATCAATGAACCTTATTCATCTTTCATAAATATTTAAATCATAATAAATGAACTCTCATCGTTTTCATAAATATTTCAATTTATTAGGTTGCATTGTTGTACAATTGTGATTGATTACATTTGAGACAAACTCTCTCTCTCTCTCTCTCTCTCTCTCTATATATATATATATATATATATATATATATATAGAGGAGCGATCAAATAAAAACCGCCCTCATTTGTGTAAACCGTGCAAACCACCTTCATCTGTCGATTTCATTGTTTAATCTTATGAAATTTTTTCATGAAATTGTTTAATCTTGTGAAATTGTTTCATATAATACTTTTTTTGATGAAGTTGTTTTATATATGGTTGTGAAATTGTTTCATATAATACTTAATGAAACTGTTTCATGTATTTCTCTAACATTAATGAAACTGTTTCATGTATTTCTCTAAAATTAAAATAATGAAGATGATAATATCTATGATTAACACCCTCCACAATAAAAATGATTAATCAACCTCTCATAATTACAAAAAAATGAACAAAATGAAAAATTATGATTGGTTGAATGCGGTTTGCACGGTTTGTACAAATTGAGTGGTTTGCATTTGATCGCTCCCCTATATAGATATATATATATATATATATATATAGAGAGAGAGAGAGAGAGAGTCTATTTCATTTGTTAACCAACAAAAAATGCTAACTTTGTTAATTAACCAATGTAGACCGTTCAAATCTAAATCTTTGATTGAGATAAAATAGTAGCATATTTGTAAATAAAGATACAACATAGCGCATGTTCTAGATTCATTCATAGGTGAACAAGGGGAATGATGTAAATTGGCTTCAATTAACAAATTAGGAAGAAATCCATATTTCGTGAAATTACTCCATTAATTAGCCGATTTTAATGCTACTAGCTACCTACATAAATCCTAGTCACCGATATCAAAGTGAAAGTCATGGATGATTTGGGAGAAAATAGAGGCAAGTAATTGGGTTGTGCCAATTATATGTTTACTGATTTGAAAAGTTTAGATGAATTGGTTTTCTTGCAACTATTGCAGTGTGAGAGATTTTTCCACTAGACCGTATAATCTAACCCTCATGACAGACAATTGACTGGATAGCTGTTGGTTTCCTTTTTAGAAAATCCAATACATGGAGGTAACTTATGAAATTGAACTGTAGAAAAGAAAACCTAATCAACTTCAGAAGAGCCAATAGGATTTTTTGTAGATCATTTGAGAAGAAATAAACGAGTTTGAAAAAAGCTTGAAATTTTACATCGAGTTAAAAACTAGAAAACATAAGCTTATGTAACTTCCTGTTTGTTTTCGAATTAATTAATTATATGCTAACCCTCCCATTCTTTATGGCGAATTCCATGAAAATTGTGCTTACTATCAATCCGTCACAGTACTCGCCTTGGCTTTATGATCAAGTGACTTACATTCTCACTTCGTTCTTATATATATAGGACAAGTCCTTTTACAAACAAAGTTCCAACAGTATATAGATTAGTCGATTGGTTAATCCATCCAAGTTTGAAATGAAACAAATTAAACCATGTCAATCGAAAACTGTCTCTTGGTTATAACCTACTTTCTTGTATTACGCTTTATTTATTGTGTTATGTATATATGAATACATCGAGACGAAATTAAAGACGATACTACATTACTATACAAACACCACTAAATCTCTTTAAGGCTAAAGTAAAACAAGTTGATTGAATTGAGGAAATAACCCACATACTACAAAACAAAATGACTTTTACACACAAAAGTTATTCAAGAAAATTTTCGTTGATAATCACCGACGGATCATCCAGAAAACACCAATGATTTCGGTAAAATTCGATGTTCTTCAAGAAAATACCAACGGATTACTAGAAAATATATTTGATCTGTCACTGGTTTGAGTTTTCCACCGACAATTTACCCACCAACTTTTGTGACGGTTTTCGGACAAATCACCTATTTAGCGACAGATTTTTCAAGGAAACTTTGAAGGTAAAAGTGTTCCATTTAGTAGTGATTGTTCACACTTAACTTGTATAGCATCTCCAACAAATTATTTAAAATAAATATGCTGATATTTAATTTGTTCTCTATTTCATTTTAACAAATTTTTTATATTATCTATACTATCTTATAAAGCATTTGGCTAAAACTTTTAAACTCTTCCCATATCTGAATTCGTGTAACTAACTACAGATAAACACAATCAAATACAGGATAAACATTTCATTTTAAATATAAAAAATCTAAAATATAATTAGTATAATCATTAAATTCTAACAGAATACTTAATTATTATTTTTATAAAATTTATAATATTAAACCAAAAATAAATTGTTTTATTATAGACCCCTCTATATTCATCCACTTATATTTAAGTCTCTAACTTCCCATTTTTAGTACTCGGTAACAATTTCCCTTGTATTTTTTTTTTTTTTTCATTTTTGGCTTATTATCTTATTTTCCTTCCTTACATAAATATTTATTTACCTATTTTTGGGATGTAACATATATGCCTTT